TAGAGTCCGCGCACTTTACTACACCAAACCGGCTCTCACGCTGAAGCATAAAAGTGATGCCTTACCTTCATTTCCCTTTCTAACAGCCCTCCCCCGAAGACAAAATTTGCCTTTTACGCCTGCACCCCACACTGAACCTTTGTTTTCACTGAACCGTCCACTACAACCTCCAGAAATCTTTCCTAACTAGGCGCCATTCGTACAAACGTAAAGTCAAGACCTGCTGCCCCAAGGTACTTGGAAGCTTCCTTCTCGGGGCCAACCCTGGTGAGACCCTTCCCTCTCCCCGAAATAACTGTCTCCCATGAAGATAGAGTCAGGTGGGTAGCCATGTTGGTCTGAATCAACAGAACAAAGTTCGAGACCAGTAGCATCTTTAAGACCAACGAAGTTTATTCTTGGGTAGAAGCTCTCGTGTGCATGAAGTGTACCACTGGACTCAAACTTTGTATATCCCATGCAAAATTAGCCATGCCCTGGCTTGCCCCTCACCCTCCAGATGACTCCTTAACACAGGGGTGTCGAACTCATTTGTTATGAGGGCCGGATCTGACATAAATGGGACCTTGTTGGGCCGGGCCACGTGTGCCATAAAATGTAACGCCAGGTAGCGGAGATATAAACTTTATAATGGACACAAACTCCAAAGGGTTTTATAATGGACACAAAGCACCAAAGGGTGCTTAAAACATTAGCACTCTTGCAACGTTTTGTTTATTTAACGGCGTCTGATAACTGACACCTCTTGCTCTGAATTATTGCATCAAAATGTCTGTGCTGTTGCAATCCTGAGTATGCTGTTCAGGTGTGTACCTGTAAGCTGCAATCCTACGATGACGCTACAGCAGCAGAACTGGAAGAAGAAGCAGAAGACAGCCAGTTCCGCTGTGGGCCTGATAGAAGCCCTCCAGGGGCCTCATCCGGCCCCCGGGCCGCATGTTTGACACCCCTGTCTTAACATGTTAAACTGCAGCAATCCTATTCAGGAACTTGAGAAACACCGCAGCCCACTTCTCTCTGCTGCAAACCAGGCCACTTATTTTCCTCCCTTGCTTTCCGCTATAGTCAGAACACGCCTGTGAACGAATGGGTCTTTCAATGTGCGCAATGGTCACAGACCATTGATCAAGCAAAATCTATAATTAGGCAAGGGATCTGTGACACGGAACGCCAGCGAGACTTAATGAAGTCTCCTGGCTTCAGGGCCTCAGAGAAGACGAAATACATCATGTCAATGGCCCAGTATCTTAGAACTCTAGATTTCCCCCCTTACAGGAGGGCTTTTACGCTGGCCAGATGTAATGCCAGGCCGCCCATGATCTTGGAAGGGAGATATAAGAAGGCTGCATTCTCAGAGAGGATTCGCCCTTGCCCCCTAGCCGAGGTGGACAATGGGACATGTTTTCCCCCCGTCGCCCCCTCTATAAACAAATTCGAGGCAAGTCAATTTTTTCCCCTTGTAGAAAGACCTGTGGCAGGGGCGAACAAGCCATGTTTAGGTCACTTAGGAGAGCCAGTATGGTGTAGTGGTTAAGTGTGTGGACTCTAATCTGGGAGAACCGAGTTTGATTCCCCACACCTCCACTTGCATCTGGCTGGATGACCATGGGCAAGTTTGGTGTAGTGGTTAAGTGCACGAACTCTAATCTGGGAGAACCGGGTTTGATTCCCCACTCCTCCACTTGCACCTGCTGGATGACCTTGGGCAAGCCCTAGTTCTGGCACAGCTGTTCTTGAAAAAGAGCAGTTTCTGTCAGCCCCATCTGACAGGGAAGGGAAAGGCGGGGTATAAATCCAATCTCTTCTTCTTCTGGGCAAGCCATAGTTCTGTCAGAGCTGTTCTCTCAAGGACAGTTCTGGAAAGAGCTCTCTCAGCCCCGACTACCTCACAGGGTGTCTGTTGTGGGGAGGGGAAGGGAAAGGAGATTGTAAGCCGCTCTGAGACTCCGAGTGACCAGCGGGGTATAAATCCAGTCTCTTCTTCTTCTAGGCAAATTATTAACAGACAAAATTTCAGTCATTACTAAGTTAACTGCTAGATTTTGTGCTCAGGCGATTCAAGTGCTCAGGAAATTTCAGTCCTGCCCCTTTGAGCCTCGACTTAGTTCCCTTCAGGACGTCTCTCATACAGCTCTTGTTCCTCTCAAATCCCTGAGTTTAAATTTTAAAAATGACCACCTATGATGCCTTGTTATGTATTTTATAATCTATTTTTTCTCTTTTTGGTATAATTTCATTTAGTTCTTTTGCCAAATTTTCTATTTCTATATTTTAACTGGAGTCTTTTGGCTTCTACATTTGTACACCTGAATAATGATTCTGTCAACCGGATCTGGCCGTGGACCGTAACGTAATAAAACTGAAGAGAGAGAAAAAGAACATGCCTGTGCGAACAAGCACCCCACCGGCCTGCTGACATTCGGCCGCCTTTAGGATTCGGCCTGCTGACATTCGGCTGACATTCGGCCACATTCGGCCAACGGCTCACAAGAGCTGCGGACTCACCTCGTCCAATGGGGGAGCTGCCCCGGTCAACGCACGGATGTCTCCAAAGTGGGTGAGGGAGGAGAGCTGGGAGGCCAGGGTGCCGGCACGCCTCCGACGGGCCTTCTCTTTCCGGCTGACGTTGAGACGGATCAGCATGCTCTCCTCATAGCTGGTCCTAAGCAAGGGAGCAACAGAGGGCAAGGGATAATGAGGAACGCAAGAGGGCGAAAGCGCTGTCCCGGCTCCGACAACCCAGGCCTCTCTCGCGGGCCCCCGCTCAACCCCCGCCCGACAGCTACCCAACTTACCGCGACCAACGACCTTAGTGAGTGGTCGCGGAGCCCCGGGACGGGCCGCGGGGCGGCTGACAAGGAGAAGAAAAAGGTCGGGAGCGGCACACGCCCCGCCGCAGCCGGGCCCCTTCCCCAGAGGGCGCCTCCCCGTACACGGGCCAGCAGGGCGAGCCTCTGAGAGAAGTCGCCACCGAGGCCCGTGGAGCCTTCACGCCCCAGCATAGATGACTGTGCCACGCCGCCTCCACGCTCGCTGCCTCGGGCGGGGTCAAGACCAGTGTTCCCTCTAAGCTGAGTTAGTGTGAGCTAGCTCACAGATTTTTAGCCTCCGGCTCACACATTTTCGTCTCAGCTCAGGAAGGATGGGGCTCCAGAGCAAACTAATTTATGCAGGAGCCAAATCGCTCGCTCAGAACTTTCATGCCAGTAGCTCATAAAGTACAATTTTTTGCTCACCAGACTCCACAGCTTAGAGGGAACATTGGTCAAGACACCCCCGCTCCTGGCAGAGCGTCGACATTCTTATAGGGAGGCGGATCCACTGGTGATGGACAACCGGGCGGCCAATAGGAAGGAGGACTGGGGTGGAGGAGAGGATAAAAGGGGGAATGGAAGGGAGGCCAAGGAGGTGGAGAGCGGGAGTCGGAGAAGGGAGGCGTGCTGGCTGAGTCGTTGCGCAGGGAGAGGCGATACAGCAGACGTTCCTGGTGGCTCTCAAGGGTGCAGGCTCGCTTACGGTGACGGAACCAGGCAGCCCGCCCTATTCTGAGGCCTCCCGTTCCCCTAAAAAAGGGGAACGCCAACCCCTGGGACGGCGACTAGAGGCAAAGACGCCTCCCTCGAGCAAGCAGAGGCGTCACAAGCACATTCAAAAACACTCCAGTCGTGAATTTGATTACACAGATCTGGAAGGTACCCCCAAGAGTCATCCAGTCAACCCCGCTGCACAATGCAGGAAATCCACAACTACCTCCCGACTCTCCCCCCACCCTCCCCCGTGACCCATGCTCTATGCCTAGTGCAGGGGTGGCCAAACTGTGGCTCGGGAGCCGCATGCGGCTCTTTCACACATAAGAACATAAGAGATGCCAAGGTTGGATCAGGCCAAAGGCCCATCCAGTCCAACACTCTGTGTTACACAGTGGCCAAATATTGTGCCACTCCTGGCAGGGCGGCTGAGGAAGGGAAGGGGAGGCATGCCTCCCCAGTCAGTCTTCCCTTCCCCAGCCAGTGTTGCCTTCCCTGGGTAGGCTTGAGCTGGGGGAAGCAGAGAAAGAAAGCTACTTTATATGTGTTTTTAAAGACACCCCTACTCCCGCCGGGCGGCTTGGAGAAGGCATTTGTCTCTTTAAATCCCTTCTCCAAGCCAATCCAGCTGGCGTGGGGGTCTTGGGAGATGCATTTAAAGTTAAAGTTGTGTTCTTTCCACCTCTCTCTCCCTCCCATCTATTTGCTTTCTTTACACCTTCTTTCTCTCTCTCTCTCTCTTTTCCCTCCCTCCCCATCTAATCATGATCAATACTAGGGTGAACCGAATGCACCCCTGAAAATGGCCCATTTGGGCCCCTTTTGGGCTGTTGCGGGCCGATTCAGATTCTCTGATCTGAATCGGTTTGTTGCCGAATTGCCGCCGAATTTTGGCGGCAATTCGGCCTTATTATATCCTATGGGCCATTGAAAATGGTGAAAACATAGGATATATTCTGGGGGCTGGAGGGGGGGGGTTGAGGGAGAGGCTCCAAACTCACAGGGTAGCTACTGGAGCCTCTCCCCAAGATATCCACCAAGTGTCAAGAACATTGAGCCAGAGGGTCCAATTCTACAGGCTCCCAAACACCAATTTTATGGGCTCCCAAACAGGTTGCCCCATCTCCTCCATTGTTTTGGGGCAAAGTCACAGGGAGAGCTGGCCAGTGTTCCCTCTAAGCTGAGTTATAGTGTGAGCAAGCTCACAGTTCTTTAGCCTCTGGCTCACACGTTTTGTCTTAGCTCAGGAAGGAGGGCTCCAGAGCAAACTCACTGATGCAGCGGCCAAATCGCTCGCTCACGATTTCAATGCCAGTCGCTCACAAAGGAGAATTTTTGCTCACGAGACTCCACACCTTAGAGGGAGCGTTGGAGCTGAGCATCCCGCCAGTCCAAGAAGCTCACCTGGCCGGCCCATGAGACGGGGCCTTTTTGCTGGTAGCCCCACGGTTATGGAACAACCTCCCAGGGAGATGCGCCCGTCCCCCTCACTTTCTTTTTTCCCCTTTCCTATTGTTCCCCCAAACAGAGAAGACACACAGGCAGAAATAGCCAGCTTTTTCTCGTTTGGGGTGTTACTGTAGCACTGGAATGGAACCCATTTGCAGAAAAAACTGCCAACAGATTACGAACAGTGCAACGTCCCCCTCCCTTTCAATCGTCAGGAAGCAGCTGAAGACCGTTTTATCTCGGACTGCATCTGATTAGTTTTTTTATTTATTGGCCGTCTTGGTCGACACGGTGGCCTCTTGCGTGTGTTTTCCATACGTGTGGTTTCATTCACGTGGTGAGCCACCTCGAGTTCCACAAGGCGGAAAGGCAGCGAATAGATGTTTTAAACAGATAAATGGGGGGTCTGCCGCTTCCTAAAAATATTTGGAGACGGCAGGAATTCGGCCACGTGATGTGCAGCTGTCCTTTCAGCCATTCACCACGCCGAATGCTCCAGCTCCAGTTCTTCTGTTCTGACCTAAATGGGCCAGGCTACCTCAGCAGCTCTCAGAAGCTAAACAGGGTCAGCCCTGCTTGGAGGGGAGACCAGCCAGGGAGTCCAGGGTCGGGACACAGAGGCAGGCCATGGCAAACTGCCCCTGAATGTCTCTTGCCTTGAAAACTCTTTGGGGTTGGCCAAACAGAGGCGGCAACCTGATGGCGCTTTCCACTACCACCGCCCACCGTTAGAACCTTCCCACGTTCTAAAGGCAAAATCCAGCCGTTTCCCAGCATGCCCCACTGTAGCCCATTAAGCTCCAGACCGGCCTCCCAGAAGCCCCTGCGCCCAGCTTCCTTTCAAAGAGCCGACGGCTTCCAGCGTCTCTCTGCTCGCTCCCAACTGCTCCCGCACCAGAGCCCCCCCGCGCCCCCTTTCCTCTGCTGCATACCGGTGTTCGTCCTCCCGGCTCTGCCTGTTGGCGTGGGCGTAGCGTCCCTCACGGATTTCCTCGGGGGCATCCGAATACTGCTCTTTCAGCTCCCGGATGATGGAACTGCTGAGGGCTCGCTTCTTCGCCTGTTCCAGCATCTTCTTCTCCTTCTCGGCCTCGGTTTCATCTGAAGTAACACGTAGGCAGGTTTCAGTGTCGTCAAGGAAACACACACACACCCCACCGATGCCGGGGCCCGGCCGCCTCTGGTATGGTGCTTTACCGTTGGGTGCCCCCGTTTCCAGAGCGCTCCAGGCCTCCCATTCTCCCCACCGGCATCTCACCTACCGTAATGTACAGGCACCAAACGGGGCGGGACGTATTTCCTGCTCCCTCCTTTAGAGGCCTCTTTCCCAGAACCCTTTGCGCCAGCGGCATCTTCTCCACTTTCTTCCCCCTCCGAGTCACTGAGCTGAGGAGAGAGGCAGAAACCCAGCCATCAAGCGCCAGTTTGGTGTAGTGGTTTAGGAGCGCGGACTCTAATCTGGGAGAACCAGTTTTGATTCCCTGCTCCTTCACACACAGTCAGCTGGCCGTGACCTTGGGTCAGTCACAAGTGTTCTCAGAGCTGTTCTCTCACGAACAATCCTCGAAAGAGCCCTCTCAGCCTCACAGGGTGCCTGTCGTGGGGAGGGGAAGGAGATTGTCAGCCGCTTTGAAACTCCTTCAGGTAGCGAAGGGCGGGGTAGAAATCCAATCGCCTCTTCTTCAAACGCTGCTCCTTCCCATCCACGTGGCAATTTCCTTCCCCCACCTTGCCTGCCCTACAGAAGGCAAACCCACCCCGATGGGAGCATTTCCACCAAAGCTCGCTTTGGGGACCTAAAAATGAGCTCCAGCTGGGGGGTCATTGGAGCTGGGTCTCCGTTGTCCTCAGTTTGGGGAACAAACAAATCACGGGCGATTGCATGCAGGCTAATGAAGAGGGATTAATAAGGTTTAGGGCATGTTGTACCCTAAAAGACAAGTGCTCGGGGGGGAGATGAGTGAGAAAGCAGAATGGGGGGGCAGAGAAGACAGAGGAAATACTACAAATCGCTTATTGTTCCCGGGTTAGAACAGAGATGAACTGAGGACTGAGCCAACGCTTGGCGTAGCCACTTCCTGTGTCTCCTCAAAGGAAGGTCACTTGGTGGATCGTGGCTCTAGACCAGGGTGGCCAACGGACAGGATATAAGAACCTAAGAGAAGCCAATGTTGGGTCAGGCCAATGGCCCATCCAGTCCAACACTGTATCACACAGTGGCCAAAAATACCAGGTGCCATCAGGAGGTCCAGCAGTGGGGCCAGGACATTAGAAGCCCTCCCACTGTTGACCCCCCCCAAGCACCAAGAAGACAGAGGATCACTTGCCCTAGAGCCCCTACCTATACCTTGTGGCTAATGGCCACTGATGGACCTCTGTTCCATATGCTTATCTAATTCCCTCTTGAAGCCGCCACAACCTCCCGTGGCAGTGGATTCCATGTGTTAATCACTCTTTGGGTACCTGACCGGTACCCGGTGTTTCCTGGGGCGCACTGCAATGAAGGCGACAGTGGGATGGTCAGACCCTGCACATTACTAAAAGGTTGTTTCAGAGGGCAGCCATTTTGGTCTGCAGTAGACCAACTAGAGTCCAGTAGCACGTTAAGAGAAGAGGAAGAGTTTCAGGGTGCAGGGCTTTCCAGTGTCAAGGCGCCCTTCATCAGATACAGTGGAGATCCCGGAGCTTTTATATCCCAGGTAGAAGCGGGGAACACTGTTGCAAAGAAGGGAGTTAGGATCAGTGTTCCTTCTAAGCTGACTTGGTGCGAGCCAGCTCACAGTTTTTTAGCCTCCAGCTCACACATTTTTGTCTTAGCTCATAAGAACATGAGAACATAAGAGAGGCCAATGTTGGATCAGGCCAATGGCCCATCCAGTCCAACACTCTGTGTCACACAGTGGCCAGAAATACCAGGTGCCACCAGGAGGTCCACCAGTGGGGCCAGGACATTAGAAGCCCTCCCACTG